TAGTTTTATATAAACGAGTGCTACTTGTAGGGACTGGTCTGCTCTTATCACTACGACTGATTTAATCTTATTGCATATTTATATTTGACCCAAAAAATTAGTGCTTGTTGGTAGTTTGTATTCACACATTTCGACTTGTAAATGTAAACTTACAAGGATTATTTAAAAGAGCAACACACAAGTTTCTTGCTCGTTCTTCTTGTGATGAGACAGCTTTCCGAACGAGTGGTAGATAAAAAACAAATTGTTATGACTATACAAAAGTGCTTAAATTAAGTTTATTTAAATAAATGATTTCTATTCTATTCTATATAAAGCAAATTAGGTTATTTATTTAATTATTACAAAATCGTCACATTATTTTGATGTTTCAATACTTGTTGATTATAGAGGGCGCTGCACACGCAATGGTGACCTAGATACAAACAACGCACGCCATTCAAAATAGGATATTAGGGTGCTAATAACAGATTAATTCATAGTTAGAGGACGATAAATCATTGAGAAAGGTTTTTTGTTACAACTGGCTTGTGTATCTATGTTAAATATCCTACGATTTATATGCCCACCTTCATGAAAGAGGACTACTGGCCGAAAGGTGTGGTGTATCGGCGCTACCGTGGCAAATTGCCGTCTTCAGTGCCGTGATCACACAGACAATATTATTGTATTAGTTTTTAAATATTATATTATATGTATGTTAGTCTATAAGGTATTTATAATATGGGCCTAGTTGCCTGAAATAAATGAATAAATAAATAAAAAAAATAAAAAAATGTATTGATAAATAAAAATAATCACAGTAAGATTGTATTAAGAGTTTATAATACATGTAATATTACATATGTTATCTGTGATAATACCAATATTTTAATATAATATTTTAATTAAAGTATTTTAAACTTTATTTGACGACCTCGGTGGTCTAGCGGTCTAGCACGCCGCTTTACGTCCGATGGTCGCGGGTTCGATTCCTTGCACGGCACAAACATTTGTATTCATGAGTATGATTGTTTGTGTCGGTTTGAGTGTTTTCTATGTATAATATGTATTTGTTTACAAAATATATATATATCTATGTATCAGTTGTTTAACCCATAACACAAGCTCTACTTACCGTGGACTAGATGGCAGTGTGATAATAGTCCATGTTTCCTATATATAATATGTATGTATTTACATGAAAAAAATATCTAAGGGTTATTCAGGGTTATTTATTATTATTATTTTTAAAGAGAATATGTGCCTAGAAGACAACCAGACCGACATACTCATGAATATAAAATGTTTACACCGTGCGAGGAATCGAACCCGCGACCATCGGAAGCAAAGCGGTATGTTAAACCACTAGACCAACGAGGACGTCATATTGAATGTTAACTTTCTGGGACAATGCATAACATGGTAGAATGAATCGAGCTTTAATTATGAACTGTCAGTGAATCGAGGGTGAACGAAATTAAAAGCTGCGATGTCAAAGTTCACCGACCGAGAAGTTACCGCGTGCTTAATCATATCATGTGTTAGATACCAAAAAACTTTCGTTAACGTTCCATATTGATTATGATATATATTCTTATAAATCGAAGAACTTTTTTGTGAAAATAAAAAACACTATTAATTAAATGGTGTTTTTTTAGTCCCTTATTGATTTTGTGATATTATACATGATTAAAAAAAATTTAAGAGCTTTTTTACAAAATAAAAAAAAACACTAACATAATTATTCATATCATATGTTTTAATAAATTGTTTCACGAAGGTTCCGCATTGATTTTGAGAATTGTTATTATTAAAAAAAATTAAGAGCTTATTCATGAAATCAAAAAAACACTATTTAACTTGTTCATATCATGTGTTTTGTTTTAACAGATTGTTTCACGAGGATTCCGTATTGATTTTGAGAATTGTTATTATTAAAAAAAATTAAGAGCTTATTCATGAAATCAAAAAAACACTATTTAACTTGTTCATATCATGTGTTTTGTTTTAACAGATTGTTTCACGAGGATTCCGTATTGATTTTGAGAATTATTATTATTAAAAAATATTATAGAGCTTTTTATGAAATAAAAAAAAACACTTTTTACCTGTTCATAACAGGTTCCCGAAGGTTCTGTGTCGATTAATAGAATTGTTATTATTAAAAAAAATGAAGAGTTTAATTACGAAATAAAAAAAATGTTTTTTCTTGTTCATAATAGCTTTTAAAGAACTTTCACGAAGTTTCCGTTTTGATTTTGAGAAATTATATTTTAATTATTTCATAAAACTCGTATTATAAAAAAGAAATGAAAGTTCATTACGATCTAATACTTGTTAGATCCTAACTAGTTTTAATTTCGACTGACATCAATATGACTCTTTTCTCTAGTATATTCTTTAAACTACTCTACATTGTTTGTATTGTTTATTGTTTATGTATATGTAGTCATTACATAGTATAAAACAAGGTCGTGGTCGCTGGCTGTCCGTCCTTATGTATGATTAAATCTTTAAAAATACGCAACAGATTTTGAAGAGGTTTTTTTAAATAGATAGAGTGATTTTAGAGGAAGGTTTATATATATAATACATAAACACCCGGGTGAAGCCGCGGCGAGTAGCTAGTTATTTAATAAAATAATGAATTTGTATTTGTTTTATTACACTAATGTCAATTTTGTTTTACTAATAAAAAATAATAATCTGATAATTTCTCTTCATTAATAATAAATCGCTTAATTTAAGTAAAACAATAAAAATTGTAAATTATTTGCAAAAAGATATATTGTTAAGAGAAATTGTAAAAATTGTTAACAATGGAAGAAGTAAAATTTATAAAAAAAAATAACAATTTCAAATGTTGACCTAAACAGTACAGTTTCTTATATAAATACAAATAAAATAACAACAAATTGATGTATTAAATAAACATAATGTGGATTAAGTACAGTTTCGTTTTAGAATACAAATAATATACAACCTCGGTGGTCTAGTGGTTTAGCACACCGCCTTACGGCCATCGGAAGATGGTCGCGGGTTCGATTCCTCGCACGGCACAAACATTTGTATTCCTGAGTATGATTGTTTGTATCGGTCTGGGTATTTGCTATGTATTAAATGTATCTATGTATTTGTATTAGTTATCTAGTATCCATAACACAAGCTTTAGCTAGCTTGACTCGGGTCTAGATGGAGCTGTGTAAATTGTCCTCAGATTATTATTATTTTTACTTATTATTAATATAGCAACAAATTGCATAGTCAGATTTTAAACATATATATGTACTTTTTATAATCCCCTTTTATTAGATCCATATCACACGATGGTGACGAAACTCCTCCTTTACTGCACGCAGAGTTTATTACTTATCTACAATAATAGGCTACAATATGCGTTTTATATTGACAATAAAATGATTATTTCCTTTATTGTTTTTATACATATGTGTAATATAAACAGACGTCAATATATCAAGAGAATGAGCATGGGTGATATTGATTAGTTTAAGAAAAATCAAATTATTATGTTAATGATTAAACACTAAATTACCCTTATATAAATTCAAAACGTCTGTTAAATCATATTTACTGAGCAAGTCTTATTACTTATTAAACGATTACTTGAATGACGATCGTGCTTAGCGATAGTTGTTCATACACGGTATTTTCATTTAATGTTAGACATAGATCGATAGATATAGAGTTAGACCTATATCTAAATAAACTGGTATTTAAAAAGAAATAATAAGTAATTCAATTGAGTTTCTTGTCAGTAATTCTCAATTGGATCTATATACTAAACTGGATGGTAGGGAAACAATCTTATATATAAAATTCTCGTGTCACAGTTTTCGTTTCCATACTCCTCCGAAACGGCTTGACCGATTCTCATGAAATTTTGTGAGCGTATTAAGTAGGTCTGAGAATCGGCCATCATATATTTTTCATCCCCCTAAATGTTAGGGGTAGTCCACCCCTAATTTTTTTTTTTATTTTAAGGCAAAACAACGTTTGCCGGTACAGATAGTTATAATATGAAAATCACCACCGACACGCACAGATTCCTTACACTCACACGTACTCACTCGCCACCCCACATATTATTATATATGTTAGTTTATATGGTATATGTGGTAGTTAATATATATGTTAGTTTTGCTGGATAGTTTAAGATATTTTCGCTTAGCAAATTGTCTGTACTTTTAGACTTAAAATTTTTACATGATAATTCGTTTTCTGGCTCCTACAGGACAGGCCCAGCACAGTGTAGTAATCAATGCTATTGTGATTGTATTGAAACTATTTTGGTAAATAAAATAAATTGTTACTATTAAAAAATTTGACGTTAATAAGCGGCTAAAATGTCCTACATGAATAAATGATTTTTGAGTTTGAATAAAAATTATATACCTCGATTATAAGACAAGTGACTAGATGTTGAATCAGGTAAACAAAAGAACTTTGTCGGGTATAATTTGTTGGTATAATACAATCCCCGGTCCAAGGTTCGAACTCCTAAAGGTGCCCTCAGACTCTTTAGTCTGAGGGCACTTTTAGGAGTTATGGAGCGGCTGAAGGCCATCTCCTGCTTCACTGATACAACTTTTCGTATCTGTGAAGCAGGAGATGGCCTTCAGCCGCTCCATAAGTCCTTCTGTGGGTTTGAAGTGCCATTTGCACTCGCCTCCTATAGTTAAGTAAACCTGCCAAGTCCAGCTCCGTCCAACAGCATTAGTATAGTCAGTAACAATAATAATAGTTTTTTTTAACCATGATTTGACGGCCTCGGTCGTCTAGTGATTTTGAACACCGTTCTATTTCTTTGATTTTAATAACTTTAATTTCTTTTCACCTATTTTCACTACATATTAATTCATACTTCTATATAGATCATAGATCGATGTTATCTGTGATACTACAGAAAACTATCTCTTCATTCTATTTTTAAACTGAATTGTCCTGGTTATTCCAATTTCAAATCTGTTTTTTTTTTAATATGCGCTTGATATTTTTAGGTTATGGAAACTTCAGTCGAAGCGCGCTAGGTGCATGCGCGTGCGCATTCTTCACGACAGGAGTGCAGAATTGTTTGATGTCGTATGTGTTGCCGGCGGCCAAGTGTGAACTGCAACTTACCACATACCAGGCCGGATTGATCAATATGGCCTTTATGAGCGGTGAGTTTTTTTTAAATGTATAATGGTCCATTCTGGAGATGGGTAGTCTGAGATAAAGTAATAATAGTAATAAGAATTTCAGGACAACTCGAACGACAACGAAAGGTTTATTCTTAAATATTGTGGAATGTAATGGACGCCGAATTTGTTTCTTTCTCTCTAATTGCTGTGTCTAAAAGTGCAATAGAGAAGGAAAAGGATTATTTACATATACTTTTGTCGCAGGTGGAGTAGCAAGCGCGTTCTTCTGGGGAATAGTTGGGGATGTGTTCGGGAGACGAAGTGTGCTCAGTTTGACGTTGCTATTGGATGCTGCATTGACATTGGCTCAGAGTACAGTCCCAGACTACAAGTTGCTATTGGCTGCACGGTCCATAAACGGATTTTTAATTGGTGGGTATCTAGAATCTATACATTTATACATATAAATAAAATTGGAGTCTGTAATATTGAACAGACCGTTCTTTACTACATGCATATGGATATAAATACGGTACATACACCAAAATAACATTTTTTACAATTTTTGTCTGTCTGTTTGTTACGGCTAGTCTCTGAAATGGCTGGACCGATTTTGACGGGACTTTTTTTGGCAGGTAGCTGATGTAATAAGGAGTAACTTAGGCTACTTTTTATTTAGAAAACGGACGACGGGCGAAGTCGCGTGTACTGCTAGTATAATATATATTTCAGTATTCCAACTCCATTTCTGTACTTTCTTTTTTATCTATATACATATAAAATAAAACTACAATAATTTCTATAATATAAATAAAGGTAGTCATTGAAGTCATTGAAGAACTATAAATTTGAATACAAATTTAGATAAAAAAATACATTTCTAATTAACCAGTACAGTAAAAAACAGAAATTAAGTTAAAAATTTACATGTATATTATTTTTATTTTCATGGAGTTTTTTTTATGTTCCCTCAGGTGGTCCATCAACGTTGGTATTCACCTATTTATCTGATTTAGTGGGTGAGAGGAAGAGACAGTTCTATCTGAACATAACAGGGATGAGTTTTGTAGCAGCTTGGCTTGTTTTACCAGGTAAATAACATAAATAATTTATATGTTGTATATCTATACAACACATAGTCTTTATTGCACTTGTCATTTTTAAGAAAAGAGCTTATTCCTTCTTAAAAGGCCGACAATGCACTTGCAATTCCCCTGGTGTTGCGGGTGCTCATGAGCGGCGGTAATCACTTACCATCAATTGAGCCGCATGCTCGTTTGTCCCCTATTTTATAAATAAAAAAATAGTATAATGTACATATTTTTGTATATATATTAATGTATATAATATTAATAATAAATCGGGGTAATTCACACAGATCCAACTATTCTTCCCACGCTAAGCAGAGTTTGTGTTATAAACAACTGATACAAATCGTATTTTTGTAAATACATACATAATATACTATACATAAAAAACATCCAGATCAATACAAACAACCATACTCATGAATACAAATGTTTGTACTCGCGAGGAATCGAACCCGCGACCATTGGAAGTAAGAGGATGTGCTAAACCTCTACACCACGAAGGCTGTTTTGAATTTGAATTTGAATATAGAAACAGAGAGATAGGTAGGTACCTACTTTAGCATTTTTAATTTTAGTACCTATAATAATTAGTATAGTCAAGGAACTGTTTGAAGCCGTAACTGTTTATGCGGTTCATTTATTTGCTAACTGTATACGTACAATGTTACTTATTTGTTTTTACTCACAAAAGCCTCCTGACCTAATGGTTTACTCTTGATTTTTTAGGGCAAAACTAGTTTATTGCCTCGCTCGCGAAATTTGGTAACTGTTGACTGTTGTGGTGTGGTATGTGTACACTAATACACTGAAGTATAGATTAGTACAATTTAGTTTTTTTATATGTACATGTAAAAAAACTACCTAGTATATTTTTTTTATGGATTATAATATATATATTTTTTTATTTTATTTATAAGTATTACATCTATACAATTTATTTTTACAATTATCGCCAAACTGCTTTGCAGTTTGTTGGCGAATAGGGACACTCATTTTTACTTATACCTAATTTACAATTTAACTATAATATAGAACTTATACTAATGCATTTTTTCGAGTAACCCAATTTTCAATTTATATTTAAATATTTCTTTACTTGAACAATCGTTTTAGTTATAAATATTATTGAATATTCGTGGCGTAATGTACCTTCTTGTTCTCTCACCATAATAGCTGCTGGAATGAATGCATATATATATATATATATATATATATATGCTAGGAAGAATGCGTATATATATATATATGCATTCTTCCCAGCATCTTTTTATAAACTACTAGCTGTGCACAATGGTTTCACCCGCATCAAATTTCAATAAAAAATATAGCCTATATCTTATTCTGATGCATAATCTATATTACTATAAAGTTTCATCAAAATCCGTTCAATAGTTTTTGCGTGAAAGTGTAACAAACATCCATACTTAACTTATTCCAAACTTTTGTGTTTATAATGTTATTAAGATATATTTTCTTGCAGCATTCGCTTGGCTCATTATACCGTTCAATGCATTAAATGCAACGAGCGTTCTCCCCACGTATTCCTGGAGATTGTTCCTCGCGTTGGCCAGTTTGCCAGGCTTCATTTCTGGATTCTGGATCCTGTACCTACCTGAGAGTCCAAGATTATTGTGTGATACCAACAGGAGTGAGAAGGCATTGGATCTTCTGAGCCAGATACATAAGGTTAATAATGGAAAAACCTCTGAGTTTAAGGTGAGAACTGAATTATAATATTAAATTTAACCCCGTATAAAAGGAGATAAATAAAACATATATATAAATAATAATAATAATTGGACTTGATTACAAGTGTGGTATATGGCGCAAAGTGATAAACCCCGCAAAAAAAAAACTGAGAAAACAAAATATACAAATAATAATAATAGAGACTTGGCATGTCCCGTGTCCCGGCCCGTGTCCCGTGTCCCGGCTATTAGTCATCAGCTCAAGCTGCGAAAAAGACAATATAATAATAATAATATATACAATATACACACATACACACACGCAAGTACACACACACACTGCACTTATTTGGTTTTGGCCCGTAAGTATGGTATGCGCCACAAAGCGTAAAACCCCAGCAAAAAGGCTGAGAAAGCGAAACACAAATAATAATAATAATAACACCCACTTACTTTCATACTTCTCCAAAAAGCTGTAACACTAACACTTGTAGAATAGTCAACAAATTTTAGTCTTCCACTTAAAAAATCTCCATCCTCACTATTCATAATTCATACAGTCATTGTTTAGTGATTTTTACCCGCAATGATAAGTCTATTTATGACCACATCAAAGGGAGATATATTATATATATATATAAAAAAAATATTAAGCATAATAATATAAAGTAAAAATATAAATAACTTAGAAACTGATATTTCGCTACAAGCTGAAAGCACCTGCACTTAGCTAGTGCCGCAGTGTATCACTAGTCTAGTCTATCACGCAGTGCATTTGTAATGATGGTATTATTGACTTAAAATATAAAAAATGAAGAATAAGTTAAATGGATGAATTAGAAGTATGTGTGATCAATGGAAGAAAATATATAAGAATAAAATGTCATAAGTGTTGAATAAAAACGTTACGAAATATTTTTTTTTATTCATAACTAATGAACAAACATAACGTCATTACAGGTTATTAGTAGTTCCCTTCAGACTTTAGTATTTCTGGACTAAGGTTTTTGTTATTTAAATATTGTACTTGTAAGCTTCTAATGGAAATTTGGTAACAGACGATTTTGTAGTAATTCTATTTCGCAAAAATTCTGTGGAATAAAAAACTTATTTTATTATTAACTATGATATTATAAAATTGTTACAAATAGAATTAAGTCTTGAAGTATACCATTGATTACTAAGTATACCGAATTGTTTACTGCTATACAGACAATTATAGTCTTTAAAAATAGTGGAAAAAAGCATATTGTGCGGATGTTCAATGTTTAATCAAATTTTCACTACGATTGACATAGTGAAAACATTGAAATTATTGTTCTTTGATTTAATAGAAATAAAACAAATATGTAACAACTAACTTTTGCCCGCGGCTTCGCTCGCGTTAAGAAATATTATTATTAGGTATAGTTTTTGCGGCTTTACAGTACTTTCGTACTAACTTTCATCACCTATTTTATCCCCTTAGGGGAGGAATTTATCAAAATCCTTTCTTAGGGGATGCTTACGTCATAGTAGTTTTATGCATGCAAAGTCTCAGCCCGATCGGTTTAAAATTGACAAAGTTTCATACAAACTTTCATCCCCTTGGGGATAGAATTAATCAAAATCCTTTCTTAGCGGATGCCTACGTCATAACATCTACCTGCCTGCCAAATTTCACCCCGATCCGTCCAGTGGTTTGGGCTGTGTGTTGATAGCTCGATCGAGATAGTTGATCACTATGTCAGTCTCCTTTGAGTTATACTATATACATATATTTAGAGAAGTGTACATACTGTTTAATATTTCAGGTAAAGAAATTAATACAAGATAACATACTTGTAACGAAGACGCCAAATGGCGAGCAAAACAGAACGAAAGCGTTGTTCATTGGCGTGTTGAAGGACTTGAGGATGTTCGTGTCCAAGAGCTACGCGTTTAAATCCAGTTTGATCCTGTTTGTTTTCTTTGCCAATATGGCGGCGTAAGTATTTCTAACTTATTACCACACTAGTGCTCCGCCTCGGTTTCGCACGAATAATTTTAAAGTACACTAGCTGTTCCCGCGACTTCGTCCGCGTGGAAAGTTATTTTATTTTTCTAAAGTAAAAGTAGCGTAAGTTACTCCTTATTACATTAGTTACCTGCCAGAAAAAGTCCCGTCGACATCGGTTCAGCCATTTCAGAGAGCCGGAACAAACAGACCGACAGACATACAAAAATTGTAAATAATGTTATGTTGGTGTATGTACCATATTTATACTCATATGCATGTAGTAAAAAATGGTTATTTTAATATTACAAACAGACTCCGATTTTATTTATATGTATAGTATGTATAGATATATAGAGAAAGGTTAAATTATCTTTCAGGAGTTTAAAGTTAGAGAGAGATTCTAATTACCTCTCTCTCTCTCTCAACCTTTAATCTTATTATTATAAATCGTTATGATATCGTATATTTATCATAAAATTTTTCGTGTTGAAAATATGAGTGTTAGTTTCTATGAACGCGCTAATCTCTTGAACAACCATTCAATTTTGATACAATATTTTTAGATCCAAGCTTCAAGAAAGGTTATATAGACTATTTCATATCATGCTACCAACTTTTAGAACTGACTAATATGAACAAATTTAAGTAGGCATGTTAAGCAAAAATGAACACTATTTTCAGAGGCTTTGGTCTCAATCTCTGGATACCCGAGCTGCTTCTGCGAATGCAAGGACGCATGTGTAGGATGGCAAGCTTGTTGGAGAACACGCGGAGGAATAACGCCACTAACATGTGGACGGGGAGTAAACAGGACAGGATGAGTGCAGAATCTATACTCGGTTACAATAACAGCATCGGGGAATTAGGGATGAGTGATGACCAGTGCGACGGCAGTATGGATGATAATGTAAGAATTTTAATGGAAAATGTTACAGGTTTTTGTAATTAATTACATCATCATCTGCTTCTTCATTATCCCATTCAATTGGCGTTGGTGTTTTTATATTTCTATTTAATTCATCCTTCTTTGCAGTCACCTTGTTATTTAATCAATTTCTTGCCATATCAGCTTTCATACAGTCCGTCAATCTCTTTTTGGGCCTTTTGTCCTTAAAATCATCCACACTTTTATGTAATACTTTAAAATATTCTCTTCATTCCTACACATTACATGCTCATACCATTTCAGACGATTACTTTACAACCTCTCTGATGTATTCATTCTTTATCTTTTCCATTCTTGTCACGCCACACATCTCAACATTCGCATTTCAATTGCATACAGTCGTCTTTCATCCACCGCCTTTATAAGCTAGCACTCTGATCCATACCATGATAGCAGGCCAGATCACGGTGGATCACGTGATCACGAGAAAAATGTCTTGTACATTTTTCTCTTAAGTTAAGAGGAACACGTGAGTCACACGTCGTTGCCGTCACTTCATCAATCCTTCGTTCCTAATCCTGTGCTTTATTAACCATAAATGAATGAAGTGGCGGCAGGTTACGGCGACGATGCGTGACTAACGCAATCCTAAGGGGGTGTGCTACATATAATTCTGGGTATGGTTGACTTTTGAAGTTCTTTGCTTTAAAGTCAACCATACCCAGAATTATATGTATTCACGTCGGGCCTTATCTTATATATATATCGTAGACGCGTGCTGCGTGGTAGGCAACGCGGCGTGCGCTATAATGCATATACATATAGCGTGTGTAATATGAATGTCCTAAATTAAAACAATTTTTTTTATACTATGATGGTGGCAATCAATCATACGGGCCATCTGATGGTAAATAGTTACAGTAGCCTATGAACGCCTGAAACACCAGGGGTATCACATGCGCGTTGCCGACCCTTAAGAAACCTTAATATAACCTTCTTGAAAAACCAAATATATACAGCGACATCTAGTTTACTTTATTTGCGGAACTATATTCCTAACTCTGGTGTAGATCTTCACGTCGGGTCTGATCGTGGGCGCGTGCTGCGTCTTAGGCAACGCGGCGTGTGCTATAGTGTGTGCACGTGGCGGCGGGCGTGGCGTGCGTCGTGCGGCAGCCGCGTGTGCGCTAGCGTGTGCGTGCGCGTGCGCGTGCCTGGCCGCCGCCGCGTGCGCGTGCGCAGCCTCCCCGCAGGCCGCAGTGGCTGCTGCCGCCGCGCTCAACGCAGCATCGCTCAACGGGAATGTGCTGCTTATTAGGCTGTTGTTGCATGCGCTGCCGGCTAAGTTGAGGTCAGTTTTTTTTTAATAATAATAATAACTCAGGACGATTCACATAGTGCCATCTGTTCCCGAACTAAGTGGAGGAGGCTGAATGAGGTTGAAGCAAATCTTTTTAAATAATGTTCTTCTTTTTTTTTTAAATAGTTCTAAGCACAATTCAAACAGTGCCATGTAGCTGCCGTCTAGTTGGGGAGTTTTTTTTTAATAATATAGCTCAGGATGATTTGTGCCATGTAATCTCGAGCTGTAATTTGATAAATCTTTTTAAATATTAATAACAACTGAGACGATTCACTATTTGGCTCTACTTAGAGCTTGTGTTATGAATACTACTTTTTAAAATTTTTTTAAAACAATAACAACTCAGTGTCATCTAGTTGCAAGCAATTCAGAGCTAGTGTTATGGGTACATTTTTTTAATAATACATATAAACAACTAATATAATTCGACTGCTCTTACATGCGCTGCCTGCTAAATTGACGTCAAATTTGTATTTTTTTTAAGTTCAAGTCAGTTTCATTTTTTTTTAAATAACAAATATAACTCAGGACATTTCACATAGTGCCATCTAGTCCCAAGCTGAGCCGAGATTGTGTTAAGCGTCGCAAGTTCGATAATAAAACTACTAAATAGTTTGTATTCATGAGTAATTAGTATTTACTATATATATTTTTCAAACAGTTTTTATAATATTCCAGCGGTCTGGGCGTATGCTGGGGCGCGTGGTGGGGACGGGCCGGCGGCGTCGTGTCCAACCTCGCCGTGGGGGCACTCCTCGATTACTCCTGCCCGGCGCCATTTATATCTGTTGCCGCACTTCTTGCTGGTAAGTCACAAATATTTTTTAATTTTAACTCCTTAAGTCCGTTATGATGTTTAGTTGAGAAGGGCGAGATATGTGCATCTTTGTGCATTTTCTACCACATCACGGAGAGTAATCTGAGGAATTGTCCGCATTAACACCAGCTGCTGAAGTTCACCATCGCATTATTCACCTGAAATACAATACTATTCTGATCACCTGGATGAACATTCATCATTGTCCTCCACTGTGCGTTTTTTTTTCAGAAATTTTTTATCACTCACAACCGTATGTCGAATTACCTGCCAGCAATGGTATTTCTGAAACAATACAATATTGAAACCTTCAAGAAAATAGCTTCTTAAAAGGCCGGAAATGCACTTGCAATTCCCCTGGTGTTGCTGGTGCTCATGGGCCGCAGTAATCACTTACTACTAGGTTTTCCGCACGCTCGTTTGTCTATACTATAAAAAAATCAAAACATCTTTAGTCATGTAGGTCTATTACAGTCTCTTATGATATGTCAAATATATCGTCAAATATGAAATATGATGCACACCGCTTTACGACCGATGGTCGCGGGTTCGATTTCTCGCCCGGCACAAACATTTGTATTCATGAGTATGATTGTTTGTATTGGTCTGGGTGTTTTCTATGTATAATATATATGTATTTACAAAAAAAATATCTATGTATATGTATCAGTTATCTAGTACCCATAACACAAGCTCTAGCTAGCTTAACTTGGGTCTAGATGGCTCTGTGTGAATTGTCCTGAGATTATTATTATTATTATCGTCAGTTCTGAGTGTTTTCGAGCCAAGAAGAAATGACAAGAAACATAGCTCTTCAAATGACCTTGTACATAATTACAAAAATGTAGATTTTTTTTTAAATTCAATTAGGTAGAATATAGTGACCACCACTGACAGTATGATGTACACTCGGCACGAATGAGGGCGAAGCCGGGTCGGATGACTAGTCTATTAATATTATTGTTATTAATAGACTAGGCTAATTTATTGGGGCATCTCTAAAATATGACAATACATTAATCACTCGGTGACATTGAATGTAACCGAAATTTAATACATGTTTAGGTCATATTGATGGGTTTACTTTTTCAGTGACAGCTCGTTACTTTACGCTAATGATAATCAAACCTTTCTTTTAAGTATAATCAAGATAGACGTTATATCAATCGCAAAAAAGATCGTCTGAGTTTTTTTAATAGATGATAAAGGAATGGTGCACTTGCGTTATTGCTACGTTTACATTCAGCCGCCTCCCCTGCCACTCGCGCTGCTGGAAATATTGCCGGGCTACAATTGAGCGAGAGGGCTGAATGTAAAAACATGCTGCCACTAACGCTGCCAGTCCTTTGACTCGCGCACGGAAAACCGACAATCGAGGGAGCGCCGGGCAGCGCGAGTGGCAGCGCCAATGGCATGGGAAGTGTTTCCACTCGTGTTTACACTCTCGCGCTGCTCACTTCCCTGCCCACTTGGGCTGAGTGTAAATAGGGCATAAGAATTGCGACACTGAAGTGGCAATGGGCAGGGCATATAGCTCAAGCAGCAGATGGCCGTTGGGGCAATAATGTCCTCGAGCTCACTTCCCTGCCCACTCGGGCTGAGTGTAAATTAGGCATAACGGTTAACGCTGGCGGGACGCCAATGGACGATGATAATATGAGTATCAGGTCAGGTTAGTTAGCTTATCGTGGTAAATTTGACATGGATAATGTAATATCATTAAAGAAAATTATTATAAATTTTGTAATGACATATTGTAAATTAAATAATATAAATTTAATATTGTAATGGGTGAAAACTGTGATCGGTAGAGCCTATGCTGTAAATAATATAATTGACGTAGTGGAGTAACCTGAAACAGTCATGCTCGCTATAAAGTTCAAACTTGTGGCGGCGTGGTGGGCCGGGTCAATGTACTCCCTCAAATATGGTTGAGTGCAATGATGGCTGGCTCATACGTCATACTCGTGAACGGGTGCTGCTTGTGGGGACTGGTCTGTTCAGGTTGTGAACACTGATTAAATTTTTTGTGCTTTGTATCGCAATGCATATGCTGGTGGTCACTCTATTCTCCCAATTTTGAATTTTAATGACTGTGTATTATTGTAAACATGTTCCACTATTATTTGAAAAAAATACGAGCTGAGTTTCTTGTCAGTTCTTCTCATCTCGATATCATTCCGAACTGACGGTAGATTTGACATATCATAAGAATCTGTAATAGACCTACATGAATAAAGATATTTTGAATTTTAATTTTAATTTGAATTTATCAGGAATTTATTATAATGGTTTCCAGTGGGGCACCAAATTTTCTTTTATTTTTAACCAACATAGACTTTGTAGAAAATCTTCTTCGTTTTTTTTAATGGACGATAATGGAATGGTGCACCTGCGCTAACGGTAAACGCTGGCGGGGCACCAGTGGACGATGATAATATATGTGGTCTGGCGTGGGGAATTTACTAGAAGCACCAAAATTTCTTTTATTTTTGACTTTGTAGAAACTGTCGATTTTTTAATGGACGATAATGGAATGGTGCACCTGCTGACTGTAAACGCTGGCGGGGTACTAGTGGTCGATGATAATATGAGCATGAGATCGGCCAGTTAGCACATCGTGGCAAATTTACCAGGAATTTGTCATGATGGTTTCCAGGGGGAACTGATTGGAGGTAAACCTGATGTGGTACATTGCTAGCATTGGGTTCACATTAGTAACAATGTTGAGAAACTTAGTCTAACCCATTTCAACGGCCAAGTAGCTTGCTTTGTAACCTGTTGTAGTTATAGGGCGAGAATCCAGTGAAATTATAGAATAAGAGGCATGACATCGTAGTCTTCTGGAATGACAATGCATGGCTGGCATCATCAGGAGCCTCACATGATAACGTGATGTCCGTAGTGATGTTCATGTATATAGAAGACGATTATTACTTACAATCAGATGAGTCATCAGCTTGTTTGCCAATTTGTTATTGAAATTACATAAGAAAGCAAGAGAAGCTGGTGTAGATCAGCTCTTGTTCTTATTTCTTTCGAAAGTGTCTAGAAGCTCCTAGTTATTAGAAGATATTTTTGTAGAAGATCGTTTGCATGGATGCGTGTAATTTTTATCTTATATATAAAATTCTCGTGTCACAGTTTTCGTTCCCATACTCCTCCGAAATGGACCGATTCTCATGAAATTTTGTGAGCGTATTGAGTAGGTCTGAGAATCGGCCAACATATATTTTTCATCCCCCTAAATGTTAGGGGTAGTCCACCCCTAAATTTTTATTTTATTTTAAGACAAAACTATTTTTCCGGGACAACTAGTTAATTTATAAATAAATTGCTAATCACTACATAGTATAAAACAAAGTCGCCTTCGCTGTCTGTGCGTCCCTATGTATGCTTAAATCTTTAAAACTACGCAACGGATTTTGAAGCGGTTTTGTTTATTACATAGAGTGATTCTAGAGGAAGGTTTATATGTATAATACATGGACACCCGGGCGAAGCCGGGGCGAGTAACTAGTAATAAATAAATGCCATTTCATTTCCAGTATCAATCGGCGCAATCATGATCATCAAGCTAGAAGAGAACAAAGAAGAATCACAGAGCACTGACGACGCAGAAGACAGCGAGAAGAATACAGGTTTAGATAGGTATATATCGACTCATATGTAGATAGTGTAGACAATTAGTACAATGTTTGATTCTCATTTGTTCTAGAACGAATTGTAGTGTAGTACAGTTTTGTTGTTTATGAATAGAGAAAGGTTGGTTGGTATAGCAAAGTATGGTTTATATTCGTCATGTGGTTCGAAAACACGTTTTATATTGTAAATATTTTTTATGGATGATAATAGAATGGTGTACCTACGCTGACGGTATATGTTTTTTTTATTGGGTTGTTTGGGCTATTGTCAGGTCGTAGTCTTAAGATGTATGGACCTGTAGCACTGCGACTACATAGATCTATTGTACTCGCCCTTTTTCAAAGTTCGCTACCTAGACCCGTCAGGGACAAGAATTGAAGGATATTCTTAGTAGTGATGATTTTTATCTCCTCAGGATAGAGTGAAAATTTTCCAAAGGAGATATTACGTTTATGCCGTTACGGTACCTACGGTCTACGTTGGCGGGGCACCAGTGTGCTTCTTGTGTTTCTTAGAGAATATACTTTAGTGATCATAATTATTATAGAGCCTTTTCTATATAGATGAAATGTGATTTTGTATGTGAATTTTTAAATAATATAAAATGTTTTGACGACCTCGGTGATCTAGTGGACACACACTGCCTTACTTCCGATGGTCGCGGGTTCGATTCTTCGCACGGCAAACATTTGTATTCAATCATATGTGTATGTATTTACGAAAAATATATCTATATATTTGTATCAGTTGTCTAGTACTTATAACAGCTTTTGCTAGCTTAACTTGGGTCTAGATGGCGATGTGTGAATTGTCCTGAGATTATTATTATTATTATAAATTAATGTGAATGTTAAATAATTGATGATGAATACGTTTGTATGTACATCATATGTGTATTATTTGTTTAAATGTAGGCAAGTTTATGAAACTGTAAAATGTTTTGGCTGTGGTTGTGTGCCTATACTAGAAAGAAAAAATTAAGAAAAATATATACTCTTTATACGTTTTGTTACTCTGTAATTTAGAAAACATGTTTTATCTATTATATCTATCAAATTTCCTCTCTTTATACAATTAGAGATTGTTGTGTTAATTTAATAATATATAATAATATTTTATAGATATTAATAGAACTAAATTAATATATCTGATTAAGAATGTTTCCCTGCTATTATTTCCGCAATAAAGAAAATTGCGCAAAAAATTCACGCCAATATGACCTATGAATAGCTGCCTTAACACGACTCTCACACCGCGATCAGAAGCGCACGCGGTTTAGCGCGGGAAAGACAGCGCGCGCAAACTTGAATTATTGCATTTTACTATTTGTTGTGTTCACTCTTTCGCGCGTGATAACAGATACACTTCATGTCATCTCACTTTCTTTTAAAATTTTAGTTGTAATTGCAAATATATTATTGTCCAAGGGGGTCGTTCAAGTGTTACGTAAGCAGATTTATTACAATTATTTACCCCCCCTCCCCCCCTCATCCTCCTTTTCAGCAAAAGCAATCAAAGCTCTTACGCCCTCCCCCCATGTTTACGTAAACATTTTTCAATAAATGTCTTGTTTTTTTAGTACAGACATTTTCGTAAAAAAGTAAATAACTACCAATGATATAATCATCATCTAGACTCTCCCAACCCCCATGTAACCTAAAATAAGCAAAGCAAAACCCCCGGGCCCCCATAGTGCTTACGTAATACATGAACAGCCCCAAACACACTTTTAAGATTTATCTATAACACAATAATTATGTCATTGATACATAGTCACACGTCCGCCATTTTGCAACGATATTTAATTATTACAAAATGGCGCCAAAGCACGCACGATTGTAGTACGCGGGAATGCGCTAACTGTTCTTTCTCGTTCTGTCTACATTTACATGCACAGTCTTTTCTTCGTGGAAGTCGATTTGCGCGTGAAAGAGCGCACGTGTAAAGGCAGCTATAGTGTATTAGAATTACTAATACACATAGTTTTTTTTTGAGGTCATTCTGTGTACAGTAAAATTTTGTATTATAGATATTTGGTTATTACCTTGCGATCGTTCTCATGGGTTGCTGTCAGTACCCCAGAAATGCAAGAATGACATTAAATGCCAAATGCCTTGAAGTTTCGTTTTTTATTGAATAATAAATGTATATATATATATATATATATGTAGTATACAAAAAGTAAATTAATACTATAATAGGCCTCGAAATCTCAGCCTGTATGTATCTACTGTTGGATAGGCTTTTCCAATGCCATCTGCAATCTTCTGTATCCATTCACCACTCCTTGGATCATCTTCTTGATGTAGTCAGTCCATCTTACTGGGCTACTCGACACTCCACTTCAGCTGACATACTTTGAAAGTTATGTCTTCAACTTTAGCCCAGACAAAAGCTACGATCTTACGCTACGATACTAAGTACGTAAGTAGCTACGATTGCGATCGCTCGCAGGTCTTTTACCTGCGAGCGTAACTTAATAACCTGTTTGGTGCTTTGTATGTATAAGAATGTTATATTTTTATATTACATTAATTTTTTCCATATTACAATTATAGGATGTATAAAAAGAATATGTGTAGGAAATATAAATTATTTGCATTGTACATGGAATTAAAAAAGAATTATTAAACACTTAACAAATTTAATTTATATATTTATATTCACATCAATAATTATTCTGTGTGTCATTTCATTTGTCATAGTATAATATATATAACTCAAAGATGACTGACATAGTGATCTATCAACACACAGCCCAAACCACTGGACGGATCAGGCTGAAATTTGGCATGCAGGTAGATTTTATGACCTACGCATTCGCTAAGAAAGGAATTTGATTAATTCTACCCCCAAGAGGATAAAATAGGGGATGAAAGTTTGTATGAAACTTTGTCAATTTTAAACCGATCGGGCTGAGACTTTGCATGCATAAAGCAACTATGACGTAGGCATACCCTAAGAAAGGATTTTGATAAATTCCACCCCTAAGGGGATAAATTAACGCAGGCGATGCCGGGGCCAAAAGCTAGTATAATATAATCTATTATTAATATCAGATCTTTTGATGTAAAAAAAGATAAAATTATTTATATTTTACAATAAAACTAGTTATAGCCTAAAATCACAGACATTCTAGGTTTCTTTGGTTGTGCAACCTCCTCGTATTAAACTACTGCTGGGTCCATTTGAGCTTTGTCAGGTGGTAGAAACCAGGCTGCAACAACGCTACCTGTAACATAAAAGACACTTTAGACGGCTCCAATGGTGTAACGGTTGGAACACCGCCTTACCTCCGATGGTCGCGGATTCCATTCCTCGCAAACATTTGTATTTGTATGTACAAAAAAATATGTAAGTATTTATATCAGTTTTTTTTAATGGAATGGTGCACACGCCTGCGCTAACGGTTTACGCTGGCGGGGCACCAGTGGAGGATGATAAGATGAACATGAAGTCAGATCAGTTAGCCCAACGTGACAAATTCACCGGGAATGTATCACGATGGTTTCCAGGGGGAACCGCTTAGAGGTCGACCTGACATGGTACAATGCTAGCAATGGGATCATTAGTCCACATTACTAACAATTGCCTTCCCCCGAAACATTTGTATTTCTATGTACAAAAAAAACATCAGTTGTACCCATAACACAAGCTTACCATGGGACTAGATGGCGCTGGGTTAAGTGTCCAGGAAAAAGAATTAATACAATACTTAAGGGGGTCTTCCTATGTGACGGCCTGTTTTTTAGGGATATTTTAGGATTTTTTTTCTACGACCAGTAAATATTTAGAGCTTCAAGTTTTTTATCATTTATTAACACATATTTGGACAGTATAAATATAAAATTTCAGCTAAAAATATTCAGTCAAACTAGAGTTACAGCGCTCTGAACACCCCCGCCTCGAAAAAAAAGAGCTCCCACTTCCTCCACGATTCCGGCTGATCGGCTTATCTGAAAAAAAAAAAACGGCGTTTTAATTTGTAGGCTTAAAAGCACGGAATGACCTATAATCAAATGAATATAAAAAAAATTGGATTTTTGATAGACATTTGAAATAAAAGTTGCAAATTAGGCGTTTTTTTTTTTTTTTGATTTTTGCTATAAAAAAATCGAAGTTTTGAAAATTTTCGATTGATAATAGTTCATTCCATGCGTTTCCATATATTGAGTGTGCCCTGTAAATTTTAATTCGGTCCAGCCGTTTCTGAGATACAATGGAGGAAAGTTTGAAAAACACAGTTTTGAGAAAAACGCGTTTAAAGTTTCAAGTCCGGACTCTCAATCGGCGATGCCTGGTCCATAGAGTATTCCTTCCTCTTCCTCGTGAAACTCTTTTAAAGCAGATTGTTCAGCTCTTGAGTCAATCCTGGCTTGTTTAACGACATCACTTACGCGCCGCTCAGAGCGTAAGATTCGCTTTTCATCCCGTTTCTCAACATACGCTTGGGCTTCACGACCAACAGGGCATCCCATAATCGACATAACTTTTAAAATACCTTGAAAACCTTCATTAAAGATAATAACTGCTAAGTAGCTATCAATTTCAACAACTTTGGGACCAGAATGAAGATGTTTAGGAGCGAAAGTCCAAATCAAAGAATTCAAAGATTCGTTACTAAACAACGAATTAATAATTCGTCTATCGATAAATCTTCGAAAAACGGTTTGATAGCTTCTTGGACTTGCGGAATTAGAGATGAAATTGGTCCAGTTCATTATTAGCTTCAGCCTTACGCCATTTACACCAAGACAAAATTGATGCTGAGGGTTTCCACTAAACTTTCTTTTTTTACTACGACCAGGATGAACATTTCCACTCGTACTTCCTTTCCGTCCACTCATTATGAAAAAAAATAATTTGTAGCTGTTGCTCTCTTCGAAGTTCAACCAAGACTAAAATAACTTCGGTAAAATATTATAACAATAGAAATTTCTGTTTAAGTCTGTAGAAACGTGTCTAAACTTGTATAAACAAATATATTAATAAAAGGGAGGCCAGGTATAAAGCCGACGGTACATAATAGGCCCGGTCTCTAACTGCCAACTCACCGCTCCGAACCGCTCTTTCTTTTACCTGCTGTATCTTTAAAACGACTTCGAATTTTCTAAAATCGCTTTACTACCGTATTCTAGACATGTTAAGGGAGCAATTTATGAAAAAAAAAATCGATTTTTTCAACCCATCACATAGGAAGACCCCCTTAAAATACCGGCTAAGTTAGTGATGATTTTAAAAATATCCTGCTCAAAGACAGGTAAAATGTCACTAGTTATAGGTTCATCAATTGAGTATAAACATCTTAACCGGAATACTTTAGTTCCTTTTTTAATTTATTAATTACTAGCTGTTCCCGTGACTTCGTGCGCGTGGAATTTAACTTTATTTTTCTAAAATAAAGGTAGCCTAAGTTACTCCTTATTACATCAGCTACCTGCCAAAAAGTATTTATGTTTATATGTATATAGTTGGAATACTGAGATATTATACTAGCAGTAAACGCGACTTCGCTCGCCATCCGATTTCTACAATAAAAGAATTTTTCTAAATTAAAAGTAGCCTAAGTTACTCCTTATTACATCAGCTACCTGCCAAAAAAAGTCCCGTCAAAATAGGTCCAGCCATTTCAGAGATTAGCCGGAACAGACAGACAGATAAAAATTGTGGAAAATGTTATTTTGGTGTATGTACCGTATTTATATTCATATGCATGTAGTAAAAAACGGTTATTTCAATATTACAAACAGACACTCCAATTTTATTTATATGTATAGATTAGAATATTAGCTTAGTACTTACTCAAGACGAGCAGTGACCAGAGGTAGAAAGTGACTTGACAGTGGTAGAAGATGAGGTTACCAATCAAGTTGATACCGACGAACGTACTACTCCTACCCACCATAACGCTGAGGCAAGCCACCATTCCCCTGAAAGTTTTAATCTACATGTACTAAATAAAGGCAGAGAAAGTAGTATGTAGGTTAAAGAAAAATGTTAGTTAGGATTACTAATCTAAATTGTAAAATAAAGACGTAGGAAATAAGATAATAGAAAGCCTGCAAATTTATATAGATGTGATCTTTACACTACCCCTTCAGATGACATAAATTTAAAGTTTTAATCTACATGTACTAAATAAAGGCAGAGAAAGAAGTATGTAGGTTAAAGAAAAATGTTAGTTAGGATTACTAATCTAAATTGTAAAATAAAGACGTAGGAAATAAGATAATATAAAGCCTGCAAATTTATATAGATGTGATCCTTACATTACCTCTTCAGATGACATAAATTTAAAGTTTTAATCTACATGTACTAAATAAAGGCAGAAAAAGTAGTATGTAGGTTAAAGAAAAATGTTAGTTAGGATTACTAATCTAAATTGTAAAATAAAGACGTAGGAAATAAGATAATAGAAAGCCTGCAAATTTATATAGATGTGATCCTTACATTACCTCTTCAGATGAGATAAATTTAAGTTAAGTGTAAAGTCAGTCTACGTCCCAACTTCGCGTCGAATGTACGCGTTACTAATAAGCCATGTAGCACACTATCCCATGAACTTAATGTACAATGTACAATTATTACATATTTTTATTCACAGGTAGTGAATATAAAGATGTACTATAATAAATTCAAATTCAAATTCAAATTCAAAAATCATTTATTCATGTAGGACATTTTAGCCGCTTATGAACGTCAAGTTTTACATTATAATTTTTTTTCCCTACCGTCCAGTTCGGTATATAGATCCAATTGAGAAGAACTGGCAAGAAACTCAATTGAATTACTTTTTTTTTTTAAATCCAGTTTATTTACAATGCATTTATATAGGTGTCTATGTCTAACATTAAATGAAAATCCCGAACATGAAAACTATTGCCATGCACGCTCGTCATTCAAGTAATCGTTTAGTGAGTAATAGGCCTTGCTGAGTAAATATGATTTAACAGATGTTTTGAATTTATTTAAGGGTAATTCCAATATATCCTTTGGTATCTTATTGTAATTTTTTATACCTATTCCCATAAAAGACCTATTGACTTTTTCTAAACGATACTTGGGGACAGCAAGTTTGTCTTTAAATCTACTATTAATATTATGAATATTGTACATACTGTATAATACTACAATAAATTATATAGCGACACCTCATCACATCATGTAAGTATAACGCTACTGTGGTGAGGTGATAACATCTCGCTACAATGTTTTTTTTGTTTGTTTTAATTTGATTTAAGAGTATTAAAATTAAAGCTAGTAACTCACCTGCAAGAAGTGGGATATAAATCAACAAAGTACGATGCCAGAACTCCCATACATAAACATGTGCATGTAAACATCATGAAAAAGAACACGCTGGATATAGGCTCCGGCATCAGGTTAAGGAGAACTCCACTCACTGATGATAGGCATAGGATTGATATTACCAGGCACCGTCTGTGGTTAGGAAGGTAGGATATGAGGAAGTTGAGGAAGGCGTAGCTGGTCTGAGTTGCCACGAACGTGAGTATCACGTTCTCTTTGATGTAGCCGAGGCAGATTTCTGGTGACTAGAAAAGAAAAGATATTAAGTGCATATGACAAAATTCTTTCAGCTTTAAATCTTTTGGATTTAAAAAGACTAACAATGAAGACTTATCTAATAAAGAATTTCTGTTTATATTATTATGATTACCCGGTACAAATTTCAATGTTTGACCAACCTAAATCCACTATATTTTTGTAAAAAAGGGGCAAGATTTGTCAGGGAGTATACAGTTATATAAAAGATATGGTACTTTGCGTACATCTAATTTATTGCAAAAACACTAATCAAAATAGCTACCGTTTTGTTCAAGATGGATAAATTAAATTTGCTTATTGTTAGGTTATAGGTAATATTATATTATCTGTGGTTATAGTAACGACTCAATCGTAGTTTGGTCGCCGAAGACTCAAAACTAGGCTTCGGAGCCATATCTGAGGTCTACTCATTCCTTCTCCTCTCCACTCATGAGTGTAAACTTAATATCACACGAAATTCCTAAAAATGTAATTCTGAACAACATAGTAAATGTTGTTCAGAATTACATTTTAAAAGAGCAATGCCCAAATTTCTTGCTCGTTCTTTTTGTGATTAGTCTGCGTTCCGAATGCATGTATGTTCCTAATGTTCGTAGAATAAAAAAAACACTATTAATACACATATAAATAATCTTTATTAAAATATAAGCACTTTACTTATATTTTAATAAAGATTATTTATATTTAGATTTCCAATAACGGTTGGAATTTGATCACCAATAGAGAAGGTCGTAACGCTTCCAGTAACAATGGTCAGGTTTCCGCACTAAATATTAGTGGTCTCACACATGCTAATGTTAGCGGAATTAAACAAAATAATATAAATCCTTAAGTAATATAATATCTACTTACAAATTTCTCTGCCGTAGAATTAACAGCTGTGTGTACGGCACTTGCATCGTTGGATATCAGCGAGCAAATGTTACCAGCAGCTGCTCCGTTTTCTAGGGATACCCTCACTAAGTCTAGAATATGTGACAACCACACTAGGGAGGTGTTGTTTCTGAAATTTACAGAACACAGAGTAAGTAAAGTTATAGATTTTTTCCCGGTTTTTGACACCCCGTCGCACCGATTAATAAGTTTGCTTTATAACTCTGACCAAAAATTTACGGCTTTGGTATAGCGATTTAGCTCACCGCTTTACTTTACTTCCGATGGATGAATGTTTATTTGTATTCATAATTATGATTGTTTGTATTAGCCTGGGTTTTTTCTATCTAAATATATATAACTCAAAGGTGACTGACATAGTGATCTATCAACGCACAGCCCAAACCACTGGACGGATCAGGCTGAAATTTGGCATGCAGGTAGATGTTATGACGTAGGCATCCGCTAAGAAAGGATTTTGATTAATTCTATCCCCAAGGGGATAAAATAGGGGTTGAAAGTTTGTCAATTTTAAACCGATCGGGCTAAGACTTTGCATGCATAAAGCTACTATGACGTAGGCATCCCCTAAGAAAGGATTTTGATAAATTCCACCTCTAAGGGGATAAATTAACGCGAGCGAAGCCGCGGGCAAAAGCTAGTGTGTTTATAAAAGTATATCTATCAGTTGTCTAGTACCCATAACCAGCTCTGCGTAGCTTGGGACTCAGATCTACAATTCATCGATGTGTATCTAAGAAGTTAACCAGAGATGTAAGCTACATCCATGTAAAATTTCATTTAAATCGGTCCTGAGATTAGCCTGTACAAACAGACAAACAGACAGAGAAGCAATAAATTTGAAAAAAAATCTAAATGTGTTCTATTTCACTACTAAAATTCCTCTGACTCTGTTTTTGGCGTGTACAGAAATTCGATCTCTACTGTTTCATTATGTATATAGATAAAATGAAGAGAGAGTATCTCTGTCTGTGTGCTTGTCTATTGAAGTTGTATTGCAACACCAAATAGACATAGGCTCGGTTATCTTATATAGAAAAACTACTAACATTCATCTGACTCGGTTTTTAGCGTTTTTTTTTCTACGTACAGAAATTCGACCTCTACAGTTTTATATGTATAGATAAAGTAAAGAGAGAGCATCTCTGTCTGTTTGCTTGTCTATTGAAGTCGTATTGCAACAAGAAACATACGTAGATTAGGATATCTTATATAAAAAAATCATAGTATGTAGAGATTTTGTTCTAAAAAAAGCTATTAAATTTAATTATTTATTTTCTTACGTTACATAGACAACGGCGACGATATAAAACAGTTGCAATGTCCGGAACAGCAGTGGTCGCCTGAACAGCGGCGCGCTCTGCTCGTAAATTCTTCGAACTAGCGACGTTTGTTTCTTTACTAAATCCTCGTTTAACTTTATTGACTGCACCTGAAGTGATAAAAGAAATTCTATATTCAAACTTGACGGCTTCAGTAGTACAGTGGTTTAGTATACCGCCTTATTCCCGATGGGCTCGAGTTCGATTCCTCGCGCGGTACAAAACTTACATACTCATGGTTCTGGGCATTTTTTTATAGTATCTACTATGGTGGCAAACGGCCTATCAGATGGTAAATGGTTACCGTAGAAGAAGTGTTACGTGCGCGTTGCCGACCCTTAAGAAACCTTTTATGAGTATATTAGGTATGAATCTACAAAAAAGTTTTTACTCTTATGTATGATAAAGGAATGGTGCACCCGTCTGCGCTAACGGTGTAATCTGGCGGGACACCAGTGGAGGATGATAAGATGAGCATAAGGTCAGGTCAGTTAGCCCATTGTGGTAAATTCACCATGATGGGTATTCGATGAATATGGCACAGGACTCGAATAGAATAGTTACGTCACTGACCGTCTTGTTATCGAGTAATGAAGGACCTTATAAAAGGTTAATTTATACTCAAATATGTCTTATTTCTTATCAAATGACGTAGCGACTTCTATGTTGTCAAGGTCTTACTATATAAAAAAAACATCTATTAAAAAAAGAACACAAGTTTCTTGCTCATTCTTCTTGTGATGAAAGAGAAGAGACTATTCAAAACTTATAAAAAAAACAGTTAATTTATAAATTAAATAAGGGTGTAGTAATCAGCATATGCTGTCACTTTTGTCAAGAGGAAATAATGTAATCAGTAGCTGTAATCTGAACAGACCAGTCCCCACAAGCATCCGTTCACGAGTATGACGGATGTTCCGTTTAATCGTATTTAAGTACTACGGACTGCAATACGTACCTTAAAGTCCTCTTTACAATATCTATGATTAATTTCATATATAGCCTTCAATACTTCCAAAGATTCTTCATTCTTCCCCAAATAAGCAAGGAATTTCGGTGATTCATAGAAGAAGTAAATAGCAATTCCTCCTATACCGGATGGTAATGCTAGAACAATCATGAGCAGCCTCCAGGGTCTGAAGATCACTGCCAGACCAGGCAGTGGTAGCTCGAAGTCTAAACTCAAGGTGGGATAAGCTAGAACTGAAAAAAAATTGTGATTGACTAACTCTTGTACGCAGCTTCGTTTACTTTTTCGTATATGTCCGTTGTGGTGATATTACTTTAAATTTCATTAAGATATGTTCAGGTATTAAAAATGTAACAAATAGACAGACATTTTCACATCTATGCCATGTGGGAGGGTGCAGCTGGTGTTTGTTTGAAAGAGGAGCCTCAAAATTATTTTTGTCAGATGTCAGGTGCTTGGATCTGTAGCACTGCGACCTATAGAGATCTATCGCGCTCGCCCTTATTCAGAATTCGCTACCTAGACCCGTCAGGGACAAAAATTGAAGGATATTCTTAGGAGCGATGGTTTTTATCTCTTCATGATAGGATTACTTTCTATAAAGAAATTAATAATTAACGTAGCAGGTTAAAAAATTTATAACATTACATACACATTTGCAACTAGAACTGAACTGAACAGATTTTGCTGGTATACCTCTCGCTACCAATAAATTAATCTAAATATATGTAACTCAAAGGTGACTGACATAGTGATCTATCAACGCACAGCCCAAACCACTGGACGGATCGGTCTGAAATTTGGCATGCAGGTAGATGTTATGACGTAGGCATTCGCTAAGAAAGGATTTTGATTAATTCTACCCCCAAGGGGATAAAATAGGGGATGAAAGTTTGCATGAAACTTTGTTAATTTTAAACCGATCGGGCTGAGATTTTGCATGCATAAAGCTACAATGACGTAGGCATTCCCATAGAAAGGATTTTGATAAATTCCATCCTTAAGGGGATAAATTAACACGAGTGAAGCCGCGGGCAAAAGCTAGTTACAGAGACAATTCTATCAAGAAACTTAATACGTAGCTTGCTAGAAATGTTATAATATTACATAATATTGCCACAAACTGAACTGAACTGAATCGAACTGAACTTAATTGAATTGAGTACTTACCAGCAGCGACTGCAGGTGACAGCAGCAGGAGTGACGTCATCAACAGCATGTACTTGCTTCTCAGCCGCTGTATACAAGACTCCCCAACCAGGGTGTACGTGACTGAGTTGGCGGCACACGAACTGGAATTAGACAAGAATTGATTTGGTTGAGTCAGTTATATTGTTGTAAGTAATTAATTTACAAAAATCCTGTATCTTATCTATACATATAAATAAAATTGGAGTGTCTGTTTGTAATACTGAAATAACCGTTTTTTACTATATGCATATGAATTTAAATATGGTATATACACCAAAATAACATTTTTTACAATTTTTGTCTGTCTGTCTGTCTGTCTATTTGTTCCAGCTAATCTCAGAAATGGCTGGACCGATTTTGACAGAAGTTTTTATGGCAGGTAACTGATATAATAAGGAGTAACTTAGGCTACTTTCATTTTAGAAAAATTCTTATATGTTAAAATTAAATTAAATTCCACGCGGACGAAGTCGCGTGTACAGCTAGTTAATAATATAATATAAACGTGAATGTTTCTGAGTATGGATGGATGTTTGTTACTCTTTCACGCAAAAACTACTGAATGGATTTAAATGAAACTTTACAATAATACAGCTTATATATCAGAATAACACATAGGCAATAATTAAAAAAAATATATTAGGTATGTAAATTGGGCAAAATATAATGATGGATCAAGCAAGTGTAATGCTAGTTAAACTATATTTCTGACCAACTTCTGGAACTGTTAGAATTTTTTTTTAATTAAGTAACAAGAATTTTTGCTATATATAGCTTCAATGATGTTCTGAGAACAAAAAATAGAAATGCAACCATTGATCATCTTCTCCTTTTAAGTTATATAAATTTCTTAATTTGAACTAACAATATTTTAATATATTGTAATATAAAATATTGCTTATGTTTTAAGTTTGCCCCTGGAGCGGGCGGGCCTCCATGACGGATTACCCCAAGAAAAAAAAAAAAAAAAAAAAAAAAACAAAGGTAAACTATATTTCTGACCAACTTCTGGAACTGTTAGAATTTTTTTTTAATTAAGTAACAAGAATTTTTTCTACATATAGCTTTAATGAAGTAGTTCTGAGAACAAAAAATAGAAACGCAACCATTGATCATCCTCTCCTTTTAAGTTACATAAATTTCTTATATTAATATTTTGTAATATTAAAATATTGCTTGTCTTGTAAGTTTAGAATTGTTTTCACTATTACTTTGATACCTTATACTAATTAGTAAGTTTCATCACAATCCGTGCAGTATTTTTTGCGTGAAAGAGTAACAAACATCTAGCCATACTCACAAAATTCGCGTTTATAATACTAGCTGTGCCCGAGGTTTCACACGCTTTAAATTTCAATATAAAATAAGCCTATGTGTTATTCTTTTTTTTTTTCTCTTTATTTTTTTTTTTTTTGGGATTTTTGTGCACATAATGTGACGATGACAATCCCATCGTACCTATACTAAATAACAAAAATAAACTAAAAATCTTAATCTAATATGATACCATCCAGAACAATAACTTGGCTGCATCGGAAGCTGGTTCAGCCAATATTTCATGAAATACTCCTACGTCTAACCTATTTAACATTAAAGCTTGGATGGTATATTCTCTTTTATATGCGTTACCAACACATTCCATTATAATATGACAGATCTTCTTCTTTTCCACAAGCTTCACAATTAGGGGATATCTTTTTTTTCATTAAATAAGCAAATTTATTTAATGGAATGTGTCCGGAATTCTATTCGTGAGTGCGAACCATTACTGTATCGTTTTAGACCATATTCCCTTGACTTTGATCTTTCATCAAAATATTCTTTCCAGCTTTTATAGCACTTTTTTTTATACTTGCTTAGTATCTCTGAATAGTCTGGTAACACATTAATAATTACTCGTTCAGAGCAGGCTTTTTTGGCCAAAGTATATGTGTTATTCTGATGCATAAGCTATATTACTGTAAAATTTCATCAAAATTTGTTGAGTAGTTTTTGCGTTAAAGAGTAACAAACGTCCATCTATACTCACATACATTCACGTTTATAATACTAGCTGTACCCGCGGTTTTACCTCGTTAAATTTCAATTGTGTTATTCTGATGCATAAGCTATATTACTGTAAAGTTTCATCAAAATCCGTTCAGGAGTTTTTGCGTGAAAGAGTAACAAACATCCATACTCACAAACTTTCGCGTTTATAATATTAGTAAGATGGAGTAATCCTCCAAGTTATTTTTTTTTATTAATTTTATTTGGCTCTATTGTTTTTATTATCACATTTTTTTAACCCTCCAAGTTAATACGTGATATGTACCGAGGACACATTCTCACTAAGTAATATAATTTAATCTTATCAATACACCACAGCACGTATTGGGTTAACGCGTAACACATGCCTGGCATCATTTTTTTCTATTAACCATTTTATTCGATTCGATACACGCACGAGTTTTAAAAAAAGGTAATCAAATACGTAATACTACGTTTACATTCAGCCGCTTCCCCTGCCACTCGCGCTGCCGGAAATATTGCCGGGTGACAACTGAGCGAGAGGGCTGAATGTAAAAACACGCTGCCACTCGCGCTGCCAGTTCTTTGACTCGCGCACGAAAAACCGACAATCGAGGGAGCGCCGGGCAGCGCGAGTGACAGCGCCAATGGCATGGGAAGTTTTTCCACTCGTGTTTACACTCTTGCGCTGTTCACTTCCCTGCCCACTTGGGCTGAGTGTAAATAGGGCATAAGAATTGCGACACTGAAGTGGCAATGGGCAGGGCATATAGCTCAAGCAGCAGATGGCCGTTGGGGCAATAATGTCCTCGAGTGGCGACCACGGCCCGGAAGACGCATCGTGGGAAGGCCTCCAGCAAGGTGGACTGACGATCTGGTCAAGATCGCTGGAAGACATTGGATGCGAGCAGCGCAGGACCGATCGTCGTGGAGATCTTTGGGGGAAGCCTATGTCCAGGAGTGGACGTCTTCCGGGCTGCGATGATGGTGATGATGATGAATCAAATACAATTTGAACACTAATGAGAGGTATAGAAACGGTCTTTGTATATGCCGTGATGAGGTCCTACAATGCTGGTATTTTGCAGATACCTTCATCTTTACTTGATATTATAAATGCGAAAGTAACTCTGTCTGTCTGTCGCACTTTCACGCCAAAACTGCTGAATTTAAATGAAATTTGGCACACAGATGAATAGAAAGGACATTTTAATGTGAAAAAAGGGTTGTAAGAGGTTGAAAGAGGGGAAGAAAGGTTGTATGGAAGAAAAATGACGATTATTTATAAAGTTAAAATTTTAAAAGGAAACTTATTTTCTAGCTGTTGATTAAATTTAAATAAATATGACATTTAAAGTTTGTAAAACTGTTACCCTTAAGAGGGTAAAATAAAATAGGGGATGAAAGTTATAAATTAAAGATATAAGTATGGACATTATTGGACATTTGTCATTCGTTGTTTATTCCACGCAGGCGAAATCGCGGGCACAGTTAGTACTATATAGGCAATCTGTACATATAAATAAAATTGGAGTGTCTGTTTGTAATATTGAAATAATCGTCTTTTTACTACATGCATGTGAATATACATACGGTGCATACGCCAAAATAACATTTTTTACAATTTTTGTCTGTCTGTCTGTCTGTTTGTTCCGGCTAATCTCTGAAATGGCTGGACCGATTTTGATGGGACTTTTTTTGGCAGGTAGTTGATGTAATAAGGAGTATGTTAGCTACTTTTATTTTAGAAAAATAAAGTAAAATTCCACGCGGACAAAGTCGCGAGTCTTTTATATAAAAATGGAAGGCGTTGAAATATGGAATTCAAGATTGTGCAGACGAAGTCGTGGGTCGAACTTTATCAACGTTAAAACTTAAATGAATGATGTTAGAATTTAGACTGACAATGAATGACAGGTTAATATTAATATATTAAAATGTACTTACAAACATACAGATAGAAATTTTATGAAGCCAAGCGCGATCCAGTGTGGGGTTATACTGCATAGGCATGATAGAACAAAACCAGCTTGCATAGACAACACCAGAGAGAACCTCCTGCCTCGGGTATCAGAGATGTAACCCCACAGATATGATACCAGAATTATACCTGTAAAAAAATTAGTTATTTGCTTGAAATCATGAAGCAAAAACTTTGTACACCTTTTTACGACAAAAAAGAATCTATGTATCAGTTCTCTAGTACCCATAACATAAGCTTTAGCTAGCTTAACTTGTGTCTAGATGGCGCTGTGTGAATTGTCCTAAGATTACCATTATTATTATAGTACTTATAATAGAATAATCTTTATTCGAATAAAGTTAAATTGAAGCACTTTCTTTTAGATTATAAAAATGAGAATAATGGCGCTCATTTTTATAATCTAAGTTAACGTTAAAGTATTTAAGTTTAAAGAAAATATGTATGAGTGAGTTAGTAAATGAGTTTGACTCGTTCATTCACTCATTGAGTGATTGAATGAGTAAATAAATAAATATTTGCAAACATTTACCAGCAAAAGGAAGGGATGCCAGTATACCCTTCTGTGAGACGGTGAGCTGAAGGTCACAAGCTGTGGCCACTACCAGTGTGAACCCGAACAAATCCACGCCGATGGCTAGCAGTAGCAGTGAGCTTGTGAGTACCAGCAGAATATTGTACAGACCGTTACCTGCAAGAAATGAGAGAAATAGAAATAATCTTTATTCAAATAAACTCATTACAAGCACTTTTGAATAGTCATATTTTGATTGTACCACTCATTCGGAATGCAGATTCATCACAAGAAGAATGAGCAAGAAACTTGTGTGTTGTTCTTTTGAATAGATATTTTTTTTACATAAATAATTACAGTATAACAAGTAAGAGACATGCGATAATCAACATAGAAATCGCTACGCACTCATTATTAATGTAATCAGATAATATTGTCAGTGCTATGGATTTAAAGTTTTTCTATGAAAACATTATTATCGTTAACACATTCTTCAATTTTGTAGTAAGCTTTTATAGATAGAAATTATAAAATATAAAATAAAATTGAGAAAATATGTACTTATTCGTGGTGTAGTGAATTAGCATACTGCCTTATTTTCGACGGTCGCGGATTCGGATCCGAGGACAACACAGACAATTTAATCCACTAGACTAATTTCGACAATCATTTTCTCTGGGTCCAAAACTACTAAAATGTTTGAGATAATTGTATTATACTTATATTAAACTTAGTGATAGTCAGATGCGGTTTCGTGGATGGAGGAGCAGGATCTATCTATCTATCTTAAAAATTTTAGACATTTTCGACTGGAGGGAAATTGGCCACATTGACCAGTTCCTGACTCGCGAACCATTTGTATTCATGATTACGACTCCACCATTCATTTCATTCATTCGTTCTGAAAGCACAGTCACAAGAAGAACGATAAAAAAAATTGTGTGTTGTAAGAAAGTTGTGTGTTGCTTTATTAAAGAAATATTGTTCTGCATTACATATAAGAATTCTATGTGAACACAAACTGACAAACAGTAAGATTGAGATATATAAGATTCTCATAGTTATCAGAACAGACCTGTCCAAAAGCGGCACCCGTTTACTAGTGTAACGATTGTTTTTTCTTCAACATCTCGTTATCAACTGAACGTGATAATATTTTTTTTAAATATATTATTTAGATATTGTAATTACTGATTTAATGGTGTATAAAGTCAATTATTGTTTGTGTATAATTTTATTACCAAAAAAACCACACTGAAAAAAGCGTACTGGCCATATATCAAACTTCTTTCGTAGTAACAAAGTTAATATTTGAAATTATTTTATAATTATTAGTTGGTAATTTCATAATTAAATTGAATTATTAGACAATATATTGATATATTTTTTAAATAACTATTGTGGTAATCAAGCATACGGCCCATCTGATGGTAAACGGTTACCGTAGCCTATGGACGCCTGAAACACTAGGGGTGTCACATGCGCGTTGCGACCTAGTTAAATTGATATCAATAATAGTGAAGTTCGGTAGTTTTGTACGTCAAAGGAAAAATAAATACATATTAACTTTAAGTTGCAAGTAAAGTTACTGATTTCAATTCGAAGGAAAAGAGCACCACAAATTATTTCATTTACTTAATTTAGTTAGTAAGTAAGTAAGTCATTTATTCGCATTACAGACAGATATGTACCTAACAATAAAGACCCAGTGACAGTAGTAGGCTGCGCTGTAATATGCCTTTTTTCAGTAGGCATGCACATTTTATTAATAAACCTAATAATTACATATATTATTATCTACATTATAACAATTAGTATAAATTTATAGATTATTACATTTATTATTACTTTATTTTTATTTATAATATTTATAATTGAAATAATCGTCCAGAGAGTAAAAACAGTGTGCCAACAGCCATTTGGTTAATTTATTTTTAAAATTATATCCTGTCAATTCTATTAGATCTGCGGGTAAAGTGTTATATATTTTGTGTATCATGTAAGATATATTTCTTTGAAATAGGGTTAAATTACTTTTGGACAACACTAACTTAATTTTTCTGGAGGATCTTACATTATTTTTTATTTGACAGTGGGATGTTAACATAGATAAATTCTGTTTTACAAACAAACATATTTCAAATATGTATAAACACGGCAAAGGAAGATATTTAGTGTTTGATACATTGGTCTACATGAATCTCTATTACCTAAATTACATAGTGCTCGTATACATTTTTTTTGAGCTTTGAAAACAGTTTCGATCTCAATGGAATTGCCCAAGTGAATTGTTAAACGACATAAGTCCTTCCTTGGTTTGGAGTGCCATCTGCACTCGCCCCCTATCGTCCGGTGAAGCTGTAAAGGCCAGCTGCGGCCAGCAGCATTAGAGTAGTGCAAAAAAAGCAAAAGGCAATTTTTTTCTATTTCTATTAATAGTGGGTTATGTGTGGGCTACAACCACATACGATGTGTATTGGCGTTTCCTCTTTAGTTTAGCAAAAAGTTAGTAAATTTAGTAGTATAAATAGATATTAATTATTTAGATCTACGATACAGGTAAATTAGTGTGTTAATATGTTATCGTATTATGTAACTCGTATAATATGTAACTAGCTACTCATCCCGACTTCGCACGGGTGTACCTGTATAATATATATAAACCTTCCTCTTGAATCACTCTATCTATTAAAACCGCTTCAAAATCCGTTGCGTAGTTTTAAAGATTTAAGCATACATAGCGACTTTGTTTTATAATATATAACTAGCTACTTGGCCCGGCTTCGCCTGGGTGTACATGTATTGTACATATAAAAAATCCTCTAGAATCACACTACTTATTAAAAAAATCGCTTCAAAATCCGTTGCTTAGTTTTAAAGATTTAAGCATACATAGGGACGGACAGCGACAGCGACTTTGTTTTATACTATGTAGTGATAATGATTCTTGGAGAAATTGTCAAGATGGAATAACAGACCTGACTCGCGATTTCAGTCCAAAACTACTGAACCGATTTAAATGAAATTTGGCACATAGTCTAGACTTTTAGGAAGGATATAGGCTAGGTATAGGTACATACTTTTTAATGCGAAAAAGTGTTGTGAGGGGTTGAAAGGTTATATGGAGATATCCTCATTTTTAATGCTAGAAGCTTGAACCTTTTTATAGATTGTTGATATAAATATGATATTCATAGTTTGTAAAAATTTTATCATTAAAGATGTAAAATAGGGGATGAATGTGTATGAAAATTAGTTATTTTTCGTCTATTCCAGGGGGACGAAGTCGCTGGTACAGCTAGTCTATACATATAAATAAAATTGGAGTGTCTGTTTGTAATATTGAAATAAACGTTTTTTACTACATGCATATGAATATAAATACATACACTAAACATTCAGTACATACACTAAAATAACAATTTTTGTCTGTCTGTCTGTTTGTTCCGGCTTATCTCTGAAATGGCTGGACCGAATTTGACGGGCCTTTTATTGGAAGATCTGATGTAATAAGAAGTAACTTAGGCTAAGTTTATTTTAGAAAAATTATTTTATTCTAGATTGCTATTTTTATCTATTCTTATTTATATTTTATTATTCAATTGATCTAAAATAAAATAATTTTTCTAAAATAAAAGTTGTGACAAAATCTGATGTAATAAGGAGTAACTTAGGCTAAGTTACTCCTTATTACATCGATACTTACTACACACTGACTACATCGATAAATTCCACGTCTAATATAGTTAAATTCCATGCGGACAAAGTCGCTGGCATAGCTAGTAAAAAAAATAGGGGCGAGCCTCTTTTAGACGTTATTTAGAAGGCATATAATGTTTATTAACTGCTCCATTGGCTATTTAAACGTTTTTTATTGATGGTAATGATGATTTATTAATTTGCCCTGTACCGATGCCCCATAACTGATCGATATACTCGATTGGTATGACATTTCAATTTATTTAATTAAATTTCTATAAACAAATTAGAATCCTAAATGACATGGGATTGTTAGTAATGTGGACTAATGAATCCCTTAAAAATTTAAAATAAAATGAAATGGTGCACCGTGCGCTAAGGGTTTACGCTGGCGGGGCACCAGTGGAGGATGATAAGATGAACATGAGGTCAGGTTAGTTAGCCAACGTGACAAATTCACCAAGAATTTGTCACGATGGTTTCCAGGGGGAACCGCGTGGAGGTCATCCTGATATGTTACATTGCTAGCATTAAGATCATCATGGTGAGAGGAGCATGAGATCAGTTCAGTTAGCCTATCGTGACAAATTCACCAAGAATTTATCACTATGGTTTCCAGGGGGAACCGCGTGGAGATCATCCTGACATTGCTAGCAATAAGATATAATATAAAAGTTGAATATACATAGTACTCATGACCCCATTGTCAACAATGTATGACGTTTGATCGACTTCCACGCGGTCACCACTGGAAACCATCGATTGGCCACGATTAGCTAACTCATTATATCATCCACACTGTTACCACGCTTATACACTTTTTTATTTTCACCCATTAAATTGCCCCTGCCTTCACCATCTCGTATAACCGCCGTGAAAGTATTATATTATTATTATGAATATCTACTATCCAATTTGACAACAATAAACTGTCTGTATATGATGTCACAAAAGAGAAAATCAAGGGAAAACACAAGGAAAACATCACATTTCCACTTTTCGTAAAGCTCGTGGAAAAATCTAGAAATTTCTACCGGTTCTTTCCAGTGCCTCGTCAAAGGAGGTCTCTTCAGTCTTGCTGGTCATGGTAGTGGTGTGCAGTGGCCGTGCGATTCTGTTGCGGTTGGTGCGCGACGAACGCGCGGTAGTGGTGCGTGCGCCGCGATTAAGCACTGACTGAATGAAAGATTCTCAGCAAAATCAAAGTCACTATAAGAATGGCGTACACTGGTACATAAAAACGCTACACTTTCTATACGACTTTTGTTTTCATAACATAATTATAACTAGTAGTCGCCTAATGGTTGAAATACGACCATGATTAATTTAAATTTTAAGTTTGAACATTACCTTTATAGATACACTAGCTGTACCCGCGACTATGTCCGCGTGGAATTTAACTTTATTTTTCTAAAATAAAAGTAGAATCAGTTACTTTTTATTACATCAGCTACCTGACAATAAAATTCCCGTCCAAATCGGTACCGCCATTTAGAGATTAGCCTAAATAAATAGACAGACAGTTAAAAATTGTAAAAAATATTATTTCGGTGTACCGTATTTATATTCATATGGATGTAGTAAAAAACGGTTATTTCATTATTACAAATAGACACTCCAATTTTATTTATATGTATAGATGTATAGATGACCAGCACGACAGACATTACGTCGCCAAGTGGCATGTGTTCGTAATCCAAAGGTACAAGGTATCTTTTTATGTGTACATCAATAAAAATACTCGTAATATTTTTTTATTATATTAAAAAGTCGCCGGCTCGACTAGTATATATTTAAATATTATATAATGACGCTAAAAGTGTATCTGTTTGTTGTTAGATTTTAATAATTAGACGGCTGTACAAATCTTAATGCGATTTTACATAATGATACATTAAAAAAAACACAGAATCAAAAGAGCAACACGCAAGTTTTATACTCGCACTTCATGTGACGAGACCACTTTACAAATAAGCTGTGGATTAAAAAAGATAACTGACTATTTGAAATGGCAATTTAAGTTTTTTTGAATAAATTATTTCTATTCTGTTTTATTAAGGACGGATATAGGTTATATTTTTTATCTCAAAACGACAGACGAATTCGCGGTTAACAGTACAACTAAAACGTTTTCTTCACAAATAGTAAAACTTTTAAATTATTAAAATTCATACAACATTTTCAATCAGTGTACGTCGCGCCTTATTCTCGACGCTTACATTTTCAGGAGCCCGAGATACTTTGATATGAATTATAAATACAATTACATCGTTATACGCACAATTCATTGCTTTCTTATCAATCAGATGATATCTACGATCTGTTGCGAAACTGCGATGGATGTCGTTCTGGAAGTATATTCAGTAATGTTGCATTATGGCGTTTTGCCAAATAGGAACAAAACTGTGTACAAGGTTAGTGACGATGGCATTCTATATGTGTCTGGACGTCAATATGTTTGTCCGTTTGTGAACTAGATATTGCAGGTTCTACTTAATATTGATTTAGGGATATAATTAATAATAATAATATCTGAACACAGCGCCATGTAGTCACTAGGAAAGCAGAGCTTTTTTTCCAGTCTACTCTAATGCTGTTGGCCGCAGCTGGCCTTTACAGCTTCACCGGACGATAGGGGGCGAGTGCAGATGGCACTCCAAACCCGCGGAAGGACTTATGGAGCGGCTGAAGGCCAACTCCCGCCTGACGGATACGACTTTAGTCTGAGGGCAGCGCTAGGAGTTCGAACCTCGGCTCAGGCCGTCGAAATTTTGATCCCAGTTTGAATTGGACGGTGGATCGATCGGAGAGGGAAGCAAAGTTTGTGTTATGGGTTCTAGACAACTGATATAGATACTTAGATATTTTTTTTGTAAATACATACATAGACTAAAGAACAGCAATTCATATATATAAGTATATAGATAGATAGATAAGACAACCGCGATCATCAATTCTCCGTTTCTAGTTGTGATCAGCCCAAGAAAGTCAGAAAGCAAATTTAAAACAAACAATAGTACTTAGTTGAAATACAATGTTTGATGATAAAGAAGCCAGTTATTACTTTTGGCACGTTTCGATTTGAAAAATATCTCCTCGCTAAAATCACGTTTGTATTTCTATATTTTTACTAGCTGTCCCGGCAAACGTTGTTTTGCCTTATTATAAAAAAAAAATTAGGGGTGGACTACCCCTAACATTTAGGGGGATGAAAAATAGATGTTGGCCGATTCTCAGACCTACTCAATACGCTCACAAAATGTCATGAGAATCGGTCAAGCCGTTACGGAGGAGTATGGGAACGAAAACTGTGACACGAGAATTTTATATATAAGATTTCGATTTCTCATCTCCCTGATAACATATGAATTATAAATTATTTATTTACATTTGTATTTAGTACAATTTGAATTGCAAAAACTTTACAGAACAAATATTAAATAAATAAAAAAATAATAAATATTAACAACAGAGAAAATCGACTGGAATAATAATGGCTAGTATAAAACAAAGTCGCTGTCGCTGTCTGTCCGTCCCTATGTATGTTTAAATCTTTAAAACTACGCAACGGATTTTGAAGCGGATTTATTTAATACATAGAGTGATTCTAGAGGAAGGTTTATATATATATATAATACATGTACACCCGTGTGCAGCCGGGGCGAGTAGCTAGTAGATAATAAGCGATTCCTATAAGGAATTATTTTTCCACCAATCTTTTTAGGTAATTTTTTACATAATAATAATAAGTGTGGTAAATAACTAGCGAAAGCTTAGAAAATGCCACAATAGTGTAAATAATAATAATCTCAGTACAATACACAGCGCCATCTAGACCCAATCTAAGCTAGCTAAAGCTTGTGTTACGGTTACTAGACAAATTTGATGACAAATAAGACATATGGTATTCGCTGAAATAAACATATTACTTTTGGTGACAGCAAAGTCAATTTGAGCTTATATATCATTATTTGGTGGTTATAAATAGAAATAATTGGGGATCGATAGGCGCACCCTTACGTAGATACAGGGGCGGAGGTGCTCCCCCTAGACACCAAGACTATAATGAATTGCGCAGACTGTAAGTAATTAATTACTACTAATATTATAGAGTGGAAAGATTTACTACTTAATGTATTTATATAATTTTGTAAAATTCCGTTACAGTTAGTATTAGTGAGCCCACAAATATTCAGTCACACAAACTTTAGCTTGCCTAATTTGGGTCTAGATGGAGCTGTGAATTGTCCTAAGATTATCACTATTATTATTATTTTGCGGACAGTATATTTTTTTTATATCATAAATAAATAATTACCATATCATAGATAAAATAAATTATTACCCCTGGAAAATTCATTAAGCGATAGCGTTTAGTGAAGATTTTGAATTTAAAGTCAATATTTTTCTTGCTTTTTTTATTGGGTTGTTTGGGGTATTGTCAGGTGCATGGACCTGTAGCACTGCGACCTATATAGATCTATTGTGCTCGCCCTTTTCTAAGTTCGCTATCTAGACCCGTCAGGGACAAGAATTGAAGGATATTCTTAGGAGCGATGATTTTTATCTCCTTAGGATAGAGTGTAAACTTTCCAAAGGAGATATTACGTTTATGCATGAGTGGACTACAACCACATAGGATGTGTAGTGGCGTGTCCTCTTCAGTTGACAAAATTTGAGGATCAGATTTTGATATATATTTTCTATTGATTATTCCATGCCCAAACGTCCATAGTGATAGCAAACGAGATCACGAGATATCTTGATCAGGAAGCAAACTTCTTAATTAAAGTGATAATGTTAATTTATGATAGTTAACTGACTGATTAACCGAATAGTTTACGATGTCGTCACGAGATACAACGTCCGCGTTATCGTATCGTCCCATGTACTTAGGGACGTGAAATATAATTGATTATAGATAAAAACTATTACTAGACTATTACTTAATACATAAAAATAGTTCTATATTTTTTTTGTTTAATACTAGCTGTGCCCGCGGTTTCACCTGCGCAATTTATAGCATACTAGGTGTACCCGCTAATTCGTCCACGTAGAATTTAACTTTATTTTTCTAAAATAAAAGTAGCCTAGGTTACTCCTTATTACATAAGCTTTCATTGTAAGTTCCGTCACAACCGGTCCAGCTATTTCTGAGATTAGCCGAAACAAAGAGATAGACAGACAAATATTGAAAAAAAAAATGAAAATGGAGTATATACCGTATTTATATTCATATGCATGTAGTAAAAAACCAAGAATTTCGTCACACGAATGTCCTGATTTTGGTTAGTTTCTTATTTATTTGTTTATATATTTATACATATCTTGATACAATGCGTCACAATTGTAAAATTCCATTCTATTCCATCTTCTCCTTTTTTGACGTCACACTTTTTTAAATTTGTCACATATTGTCACTCTTTTCCTACCTGCCTCCTCTACCTAGGAGCATCACATAAGATGGTGGAAAAGTAATCCCATTAAAGGAAGTGGATTATTGTCTATTACTCTTAGTTAAATGTCGAATATTTTAATCAATTATTATACACTATTAAAAAACAATCAATTAAATCTAAAACCTACGCATCAATTTTTTTCAGCATCACAGCACGGGACCTGGTTTTGTTTTTTTTTTCATTTATTTATTAATTACTTCATATATAAATACTTTACATATAATATTAACTTATATATAATATTAACGTTTTATTTTCTTTAGTTATCTTTATGTACGCTCTCTCGTGTGTGGTGGCCCCACTGAAAATCAGCGCTGTGGTATATATATACTGCAGTATAAATGCTGAGTGGTAGTCACATTCAGCGTTACTAGTATATTTTAGCTTTTAGCTTTTAAGTTCTATAGTATATAAGATAGATAGCATCTAAGAATACTGTAATGCTGAATAAATGTCTTTATTATTTTTTTTTTCCCAAAAATTTTCATCTCCCCTCTTAAGGAGAGGAGAGATGAGAGATTATTATTATTATTATTATATATCTGGTTACATTGGGTCACAATTATGAAATACCCACCCCTTGTTTGCGTCACACAATTTGAAATTTGTCACATATTGTCACTCTTCCTTCTCCACTCACTTCTGTCCTCTGCACTCTTTTCCTAAAAGTGTGACATTCTTGTATGGAGGAC